TTTTACCAATGACTGCTTTCACACCGTCAGTGCAAATGTCAATGCAACAGACATGGAAATACCTTCTGAGTGTTATTATGAAAAGAGCTTTGATCTCATGGACCCCTGAGAGGGTAGTGAAGATGTCTAGATGTCCACAGCTCACACTTCTCTGCTTTAAGTGTCCAATTGTATTAAATTCTCTTTTCTCAAAAATAAACGAAGAAGTCACAGTCTTACATACTCCTCACCCTAGTAACTGTTTTCTCATCTTCCCTTACTTTCGTAACTCCTTGGGGTAAAAAGGGATCTATCTTCACCAATTCCATTTCCTTATTGACTACCTACAACTTAAACTCATTCACCCTCAACTCTCCTGAAATTGCATGTTAGACACAAGAATTTTTTTTTTAAACAGTCTGTTTCCCCTTTTGATATTCCTATAGACTTCAACCTTGCAAATACTCCATCCTGTGAGGGGGAAAGTGGCAACTGTCATAAAAGACACACAGGGAAAAATCCGTGGTTCTGGGATACTGTGCGATCTTGTTGGTCTTCCTCCTACCGCTTCGCTGGTGCTTCTTCTACCTTATTCACAGCTCATGAATAAAATGCCAAAGGTTTTCAGTTCTCTTCTCTCAATGACCTTCTCCCTAGCCTAACACATCTAATCTCATCATGTTCCTTCTAAGCAAATGGCTGCCTGTTTGATATCCTGAACCCTTTCTTGAGCCCCAGTTTGATTTCCCAACTCTCTATTGGGCACTTTTGCCTAGATGTTCCACCAGCACCTCAAACTCAACATGCCTGAAACTGAACTCAAACCAAAATGGTCAGTTCCTGCTCCTCCAGTGCCCTCTTAATGTATTTTCAAAGACTTGCAGTCGTCTTAGTCTCTAGCAACTCCAGATCCTTGCAATCCCTCAAGAATCTGCCCATCATCACCTCTTCTTTCCTGATCCCGTTCTAATTTGAGATGTTATTCTCTCACTTAACTACAGGAATCATGTCCTAGCCATTCTCCCTGATCCTAGTCTACTTCCTGCCTCACTCCATCCTATGCATTGTCAGGTAAATCTTAAGCCATAGGTCCAATTAAGTCTTTCCTGGCTCAGCACCTCCATCTGTACCCGATTCCTCACACAGCTTGGATTCGTCAACACTACTTTCCCCCTCATTTTATAGTCACTCTGTGTACAGGCCTTTAATCCCCAACCAGACTCTAAGCCTCTGTGAAGATAAGACCTACGCTTAATAACCCATCTCAAATAGCATCCAACTTAGGGCTTTTCACAGCATAGGGATGTGCTTAATATTTATTCAAGGAAATGCAGGATGAATGGATCCTCTATCTCTAGTCTTTTCACCACACACATACCAGGTATGCGCTTTCATTTAACTAAAACCATATTCAACCATTGGTTAAACAGTGCATCACCATTCTAAGAAGCTGAAAATTAAACAGCAGGAGCAAGGTTACCTATTGAGAAAGGAAGAGGAATATAAATCAGGGGGAAATATAGTTACGTTTTATTTCTTAAACTGAGTAGTGGGTAGACAAGTGCCATTCTTCTTTGTACCTTTTTCATTCTCTACATCTTTCTGAATGTCTAAAATAGTAACCAGAAACATAAGGCATCAATATTATATCTAAAAAAGATCAGCTCCTCCCAATAAGAGTTTTGTATTTAATTATTCTGCTGTTTCATATGTGTCAGTCTTACTTGCTAGATTGCCAGAAAAAAACGTTTCATCATATTCTGAGATTGATATTCACTGAGCAATGACTCATAAGAATAAAACTTTCTCACCCCTCCCCATCAAAGCTTGCTCATGTAGTTAATGATAGATTGAAGCAAACCTACATAGATGATAGTTGCCCCTAATTCAAAGAAACACAGCTGCGAATCCTATTATAATTTACTATTCCTCTCTAATTTATCTGTTGTTTTTTTATTTTATTTTCCTTTAAGGCAGAGGTACTATTTCGTGGGTAAATGACATTTTCCCCCTAAACAGTATGTTGGTTTATCAATAGGAAGCTTATTTGTGAAGAGCTTATTCTGTGACACACAGCTTCTTAGGAACATTTGACAGGAAAGAGGGGACTGTATTTTATTTGTGTACCTCATTAAGTCACTCTTTTTTACCAGAGTAGAAGATACTGTTTTTAAAAAATATTTTAAAACACTGAATACAGTAGAATGTCTTTCCCTAAAGATGTATTCAGGTGATGCAAACTTTAACAAGTTTTGCTTACACTAAAAATATTCATCTGTCCGTATCACCCACTTCCCAGATGGTTAAAATATGCAAATTACATATAAATCCAGTTACTTTTAAATTAATGAACAAATTCAAAGTGCTCATTGGTTTTGATTTACATAAATTTTAAACAGAGAGCTAAGAATCAAGAATTTATGGAGCTACAGGACCACAGAGTACAACAGCTTAGTCTGGGAAGGGTGTTAAAAAGATTTAGGAATAGCTTGATAGTTCATGACTCTATGTTAAAAATCTAAAGCACTTTATGAGGAGGTGTTTTCAATAGTTTGTTAGTCTGGTGATACAGAAATGCTATTGTTGACAGCACCCAGAAAAACATCTTAGAAATGTCAAAAAGTGCCCAAAGGAAATATAGAAAGCCTAGGCCCAAATTTTAAATTAAAACATAAGTGATGATGCTGATATGAAATCCTGGAAGTTACGATTTGTTCTTCGTGCGTCTCTACATGCTGGGGTTAAAACTCAAACTCACTTAGTTTTAGTTCATCCCAGCCTTTCCTCTAGGTTCAATGACCTGGACATAAAGTTTCCACTTTAATATGGCAAACTTAATTAACCCCATTGAAATTTAAAGGAGCCCATGGGAATTACACTAGACACCATGCTTTACTAATTACCATGCTGAGTTTTCTTGGGCAATCACCTCCTCATCAGATAACTCTTCTGGGGCTATCACCAACATCATGGCTCTTCACACGTGACTGTGTGCCCACAAACATGAACTACGCCCCTTTCCCAGACACAAAAAGTGGGAAATGTACCGTATTTCTTAAATCTAGGCAAAACTTCTGGAAACTTCTTATCGGTATTTGCAGCCCAGGTATGTCACAATTTCAGTCCTCATGGAGACAATGATGGCAAATCAAAGACTCAGGTCTCAGAAGTGATTATGCATGTGAACTGCAGGCTACATCAGCAACATCAATCATTATACTTGAATTTAGCTCAGTTGGCAGCCAAACATAAGAATGTGTCCTCACCCCAAGAAAGACAGCCAATTCCGCCTGGGGCAAGGGAAGGAAAGTTGACAGTGGGAACTATTTATAACTTCTTTTCTTTGCCCAATAAAAATTCTAAATTTCTTCCCCATTCTCACTCCAGGGGGAATCACACATTCTAAACAGGACCTCAAGAACATGCCCCACCAGGGAGGAAGAGGTTATCTAAGAGGGTGTAAGCCGGCCAAAATGCCAGGGGCATAACCCTCCCAGGACTACAAAGCTTTAGGAATAGGGATTAGGGTAAGTGGTGGCAGGCTTATTTTGACATGGGCAGACAGCCCATAAGTTTGATTATTGATATTAACTTCAGAGGAACCGGTTTTTACTTTCCTTTTGACACCCAGAATACAAATGAGAGGACAGATCAACATACAAACACCTTGCACACGTGAATTCACAACCAAGATGGTCCTCATGCTTGTAGGGCAGTTGTCCTAACCAGATACCACTGTGGACTCTCCCCTCTTCACCACCACACAGCCGGCAGCCTGCCCCTCCTCAGCACCTCTCACCTAACTAAACCTAACAACTGGGTGTCTGGACAGAAGGAAAAGGGTGGACTTTCTCATGCCAAGATGTAAGCAACAGTTCCTCTTCCCTGTACCAAACACCCAGCTCCTGACCTCATCCCATCCCCCACCCATTCCAAACCCCCCTTCCTGACTTTCATCTGCCAATCCCTTCTTTCTCAGCTCATTTTTAGCTTTATTTTCACCACCACCACCCTACTGCACTTCCCTACCATGTCCTATTTCATACCCACTCCCCACCATACATCAGCAGAAACACACAGTGCCCACTTGGTGGTTAGAACATAAAGGAGCTATGCTCCAACCCCCACAGCTTGGGAGAGAGGGGTGCCAGGTATTTCAAAGTGCAAATGTGGATGAGTTTTCCAAAGTTCTCTTTCAACAGTACTACATAAGCTTGTGTCCACGATGAGGGTACAATAGGTTTCCCTACATAGGCCTGGGTTCCTCACCACGTTTCTTTAGGAAAATAGGGTGTAAGTTCAAAACACAAATTAAAAGAAGAGTTGTGAGTTGGGGGACCCCTACCCCAAGAAAGGAACAAGGTAAATTCTTAAATTGATTTTTTAAAAATAGGGAACTATTAATACATCCATGAAATGCTACACGTGTATAATATCTGTTACGCATATCTCCAGATATAGAAAAAAAACAGCAAAACATAAAATGTCTTTATGAAAAGGTTTCCATCAATTTGGATTTTTTTTTTTTGCTCCACTTCAATATTCCCTAAAGAAACTTTAGATGTTAAATAAGAAGCTTTCAAAAGCTCCCAAATGGTTTTTTTAAAAAGCTAGTTATAAGCTTCATCCAGCTAAAGTTTCAGCTTTTCAGCCAAAGCTCATTGTTGAATATTCTAATACGATGGAGTATAAAAAAACAACAACAAAACAAAGTCTTGGAAGCAGTCTGCTGGTTGGTTTTCCATATCCCCCATGCCCGGGGAGGTCAAAATTGCGAGGAAATAAAGAATCAACCCTTAAACAATGCATATGCACCCACTCAATTATTCCTACACTGTGTATATAATTCCAAGAATTTCCATTAGTTGAACAGAACTCTAACAGCCCAAGGAGAAATACTTCCCAAACACATTCGGTTTAGCAAAGCATTCCTGCAAGAGGCACTCAAGTTTCACTCAGAAATGAAGTGTCATTACTTAAAATCTTAAAGGGGGGAAAAATCATTGAAAACATATTCTTACCATTCTCATTAGGCTCTGTTGGCTTGGACACTTCTCTGAAAGGGATTATAACTGCATCTCCAGGCACTCGGGGGCTTTCCACATACTTGGGCTTCCTGACGGGACCTGCAGTGGGAAAGATCTGAGTGTGGCTAATTTTTTCCAGATGCTAACAAAGCTTCAGAATGTACAGTGTATGTCCTTACCAGGACCCAAATATGCCTAAAGGGAAAGCCGGCCCTTTCCCCTCCCTTCAACACACACACACACACACACACACACACACGCTCACAGTCATTTCAGTACAGACATGAGAATGTCCAGTCTGAACTGCCAAAGAAGAAACGGGTAAGCTCAGTTTCGAGAATGTAAACTCTTTTAACAAAAACAAACGCTGCTCTTTTGCTGTGAAGTCTCCGCAGCTGTCTTTGGTGTATGTCAAGTAAGTGATTTTGACATGTTCAAACCTGGATGGCTTGTGGCGAAAGGGTTTTTATTTGGAATTTTTCTCGAACTGGGGCAAAGACGATTGGGTTGCCAGGATTACAAACAGCCAGCCTGTACTATCAACATGCTCTGAGCAGCCGAAGAGCACAGGCATTTTATCAGACTGGTGACGCATGGCAATTGTGTGGGGCGGAGAAGTGATTGCTTTCTTGGCAGCTGACACAGCTGCCTTCAAAAAGGCACAGCAGCCAGTCCGGCATGCGATTCAGAGACACAAGAGAGCCACAGAGTCCTATCTCTCACCTCTCTCTCAACCCAACTTATCATCAGAAACTCTGGAATTCTTAAGGCAGAAGGGAACCCTATGTTGATAGTCTATGTACAGGGGCAGTCACTCTGGAAAACATGTTGGCATTTCCTCAAGAGGTCAACATAGTGATCATATAGACCAGCAATTCCACTTCTATGTGAATATAGGTTCACACAAAAATTAGTAAACAAATGCTCATAGTGTGGCATTATTCACTGCAGCCAAATGTCCGTCAACTGATGACAACAAAATGTGATGTATCCATAGCATGCAATATTATTGGTCAATAATGAAAAGGACTGAAGTATGGATTCATGCTGCAACATGGGGAAACCTGAAAGCATTCTACTAAGTGAAAGAAGCCTGTTCCCAAAGACCACATATTATGTGATCATATTCATAAGGAATATCCAGAATAGGCAAATTTATAGAAACAAAGTTTGAATGGTTGTCAGGGGCTAGGAGATATGCAGGCTGGTGGGGTGATGGCTTAGGGGTAGTTTGGGACTTCTTTTGGGGGGGATAACAATGTTCTAAAATTAGGTTGTGGTGATGGTTGCACAACCTTGTGAATATGCTAGAAATGGCTGTAGTGTACATTTTAAACAAATGAACTGCATGCTATGCAAACTATATCTAAACAAATCTGCTTACAAAAAAAATAAAAAAGACTGCCTATTGTGTCTGTTCCTTTCAAACATCACATTACATTTTGGTCCAAAATTACCCACTGGGCTCTTTATTTTCCTTTGTTGCCTCATACTGAAAGTGTGCTTTTAACAAGGCCACAGAGTCAGGATACATTTCACATCAGCGAGAGAAAGGGTGGTGGGAAGAGGGCCAGACAGGGGTCCACTGGCTCAGCCCTGAGCCACAACCCTGACCCTCTTGGGGCCTCAGCTCCGTCCCACCGTCTCACACACTGAAGGGCAGAGTCAGGTGAATTCTGAGCATCCTTCTGTGTCAAACATCTTACACATCTGAGAAATTCTGTTCAGAGAGTGGTTTACGGTAAGAGATGCTGCCATCTAAAGGTTTCCTGCAAAAGCATCTATACTACCATAAAAAGCATCCAATTCCCGGTCAGCTATAATGTGCTCCATCTTAAACTAAACTGTTATCAAAGAAGCCTATGGTACTTAACAACTAGGGATAGTATTTCAAACTTTAGAAACCAGGGTTTTTAAATGGTTAGTGTATTATTTAAAGATATGACTCTCTTCATTATTTATTTAACCCTGTCAGAAAGGGAGTTTTTGAAAGGTTAAAATGAAATGATTACGGGGCAAAAGGAAGAATATGCTCACAATAAGTGGAAGATATACGCCATTCAACAGAATACAAAGTACAATTTGGGTTTTATCTAAAACATACACGTATCCATATAGAAATATGCATGGAAGGAAAGACGGGGGTAGAGGGGAAGCTAAGATATCTGCTGTGAAGAAGCCAGAAACCAGGAAGAAGGGCCCAAACTGGGCAGGTAGAATGGAACAAGGACAAATACGAGAACCTTTGGTTTGGGACCTATTCCCTAGGGTAAAAAAAGGTCACAGACATATTTCTCTCCTGTCATCTGCTCTCTCCTATTTAAAGGACTTCAGGGAGATAATGCCCTTTATTATTATTGCCCCATGATTCCAACTGCTCCAACCAGCAACCATGCCACTGCCCAAGAGAGACCTCTAAGTTTCTGCTCACCTTAACTCTTCAGGGTATAGAAATGGCAGACCCAAAGAGACCTACTTCTAGCCTCCCAATCTACCTCCCCCCATACATCCTTCGAAAATATTCTCTAACAGTATAAGTATTCTCTTAAAATGTGGATTCTTTCACATGGACGGACAATGGTTATTATGAATGGCTAGAACCCCCAACCCCAATGTCTACACACTGCCTTCAGAAACCATCCATGCCCACCCATTGAACTATCTGAACTGTGTTCTGTTCCGGGGCTGACTGCTAGCTATAAGAAAAACTCAACACTGAGGAGAGAGGGTGTTAAGGGCCTCTGGAGTTGGGCAGACCTGAGCTTATCACAGTAAACAGGGATGCTAGACACGAAAGGAGGCCTAGACTATACCAAAGTAAATAAAACGTGTATTCAGTGGTCACACAAGGCTAAGCACTTAGCAATTTTAATTCATTCAATCCTAACAACTTTGGGAGAAAAGCACTATTTCCCCCCAATTTTAGGCCAGGAAACCATTCGCTCCAATCAGTTAAACCCTTTGCTCATGGCCCACACAGAGTAAAGCAGGAATTCAAGTAGTTTTGTGGTCTGTGCAAGTTTGAACTAAACCTACACTAAACCACCACTCAGCACTTATAAAACTAGGAAATCCAGATTAAACGTGCATTTAGAGAAAAGGCCAGGGCAGTAGAACCTTCCACCACCCCATCGTCCACGGACCTCGGCTGTAGAGTCAGCAAATCTTTTATTCATACTTACTTGTCTCTGATCTCCCCTAACTTTTACTACGAGTTAAAATATTACGAGGTGAATATAAACAACTGCTCTCCAACATGATCCTTCTATTTAAATGGCTTTTCGCAAAGAGCTGAACCTTACATGCTATAAAACAAGATGAATTTATAGCCATGGAGGTTTTACTCTTTCCTCCTCTCAATCGCTCATTAGAGAATTTGCGTGTACTTTCCATTAAACATAAGCAGATGAACACTCATTTGCCTTCACTCCCTTTTCAAGCACCATTCAAGTTGCAGTAAAGAGATTTGAGAGAGACCAATGGGGAAAGGAGACAACCACAGGCAAGAAACCAAACTTCTGAAAAGTGGGAAACAGATTGCCAAAGAGCAGTAGATGGAGCCAATGAGAAAAGGTGAGCGCTGCAGAGGGCTCAGTCTCGGGGACAGGAGACCCCTCTGAAGGCAGGGGCATGGGCGGGGCCAAACACAGGACCATGGGTTGAAAATCTACTTAAGGGAGAGTAAGGCCCCCCTCTTCCAGAACCTCCCTCATCCTGGAGGCTGAGTTTTTCTCTGAAAAGGCTGAATGCCAAGACCACGGAGACTCAAGAACTGAACTCCTGAGCGTTACAGTAAAACACTGGGATTAAGAGAAATTCTACACGAAGAATGGTGGGTCCCAGATGGACACATCCTCCCACTCGGCTGTAGGAACACTGACAGTAAGCTTAGCCACTTTGGGAGGAGAGATGCCACGGCAGGAAAAGACCCTAGGATTCTTCTCTGGGGAAAATGAACAAGAAAGACCTATAAATAATCACGGTTGGGAATGTGACCCCAAAGAAATGGCAGATCCCTGACCAACCACGTTACCACAAAGTTCATGCTCAGGACCCTCACCTCTTACAATCAACGTTTTGGCACCTCATACTTACATACAAACTAGGATCATCAGACTGTTCAGGAAAGACCCTACACTGAAAGGAAAACTCCCCATCAATGAAGTGGCCACATTCCCTGTGAAGTGATCAGCAGAGATCAAAACTAAATCATCTTGGGCTGGCCAAGTGGCACGATGGTTAAGAGCTGGCTTGGGACGCCAGAGGGCCCCGGTTTGGATCCCACAAAAGAGGGCCAGTGACACTGCCCTCTACAGCTAAGATGCTGAACAACAGCTCGACCTGGAGCTGGGCTCCGTCCAGAAGCCGGCGACTGATCTGCCTCACCAGGAAGAGCACAATGATGGTGCCAACTTGGGCCAGTGAAGCAACGTCCTCCACAACTGGACTGAAGAACAAAAGGAAAGCAACTTGTCTGTTTCCCTTCCCCAAATTCCCCCGCACTGTTCCCATCCCCCAATTCCTCAATAAAAACCTTTAAAGAAAACCTAAATATCTATCTCCCCAATATTCCCTTACTCACCAGCACCTCACAAACTACTGACCAGCACCTTTCCACCCTTCTTTTTGTTTCAAATGTAATGCTCAACATTCCCAAGCATAAGCTACCTTCAAGTGAAATATTTTCACCTTTTTACATAAATCAAGTGCTAATCAGGTTAATCTCCCAAAATTAACCAGAATGTAATACTACCTAATAATTACCCAGAAAACACGGTATTCTATATATTAGCTATGTTGTAAGGCAGGACGCTCTTAAAAGCAAGACAAAACTGTCAGGTGTTAACTTGAAAATCAGCTCATCTAGAAGCCAACATTTCCCTGTCACAGTTGCCTTGCCTCCTTCACTCCTGGGCAACTGACTGAGGACGGGGCCTCTAAGGAAACCATCCTTCTTCTCTCAGGGTCTAAGCATGGTCTAGGGTCATGGTTTGGAGTGCGAACGTTCCCAGTTTACAGGGTTTGAGATAAATGGGGGTTGCTCTTGATCATAAATTAAATCCACCTCATTGCAATCTGCATCCCTTTCTTCATCTCCA